TCACAATTTTGATCTTCCTTTAAAAAATGATTAAATAAATCAGCATTTAAATTACTAGCATTATTTCGCAATTGACAATGTAATACATTCATTTTACGACTTCCATAGTTGTAATATTTCTTAGGTTTTAAGCAGTATATATTCTTTATGGCAGTCTTGAATGATGAATGTGTAGAAAGATTTCAAATATTACAGGGTAAATCATTCCAAAGTCTTATAGTTGAAGGAGGGAAACTTTTCATAAATAAAGTCCTTTTGGCTTGTGGAATATGAAATGTAAGATTGTCCTGATTCCTTAAAGGATAAGAATTATGTGGTAAAATGCATTGTTGTAATAAATCTTGCAAATAATGGGGAGCTAATCTATACACTATTTTATAGAATAACACTAGTTTATGTATTTTTTTCTTATTTCAAGTGTATCCCACCCAAGATCTCCACAAAGTTTTGATCTTGATGAATTAGTCCTTAAGCCTGTTATTATTCGTGCAGCTGCAACTTGAACATCTTCTAGTAATTTTGCATCTCTATCAGTACAATTATCCCATACAATGTCTGAGTATTCAAGAACAGGACGAATAAAAGCAAAATATATTTTTATCAAAGCATCCCGCATAAGGGTGTGCTTTAACATTCTTAAAATATTTAATCGATTACAGGCTTTGGCATGAATATCAAGTATGTGGGATCTCCAATTACCATCCTGTCGAAATCTTATTCCTAAATGAGTATGTGTTTCAACATTTTGAATAGTAGGCCCATCTTCACCAAATCTAATTTTTGGATGGCAAAAGTTTTTCCTGCTAAAATCTAAATTAACTGTTTTACTAGGATTGAAATCTACTGCCCATGTATTAGACCACTGTTTTATTTTTTCAAGATCCTTAGTTAATAAGTTTGCAGAGTTAAGAACATAATCATCAACTATGACATAAAGAGATGTGTCATCTGCAAAAAGCCTTACAGGACTTGATAATTTTTCAGATATGTCATTAATATACAATAAGAATAAAAAGGGACCAAGGACTGACCCTTGAGGGACACCTGAATTGGTAGCTCTAGTGGTTGATGAAAAGCCATCAAGAACTACTTTTTGGGTTTTGTCAGACAAGTAGTTCTCGATCCAATTAACTATCTGTTCAGATATACCATAGTATTTTAATTTATAAAGGATACCTTTATACCACACTCTATCAAATGCTTTTGAGATGTCACAGAAGACAAATATAATATCTTTACCTTTATCAAGACTAGATATTATTGTATGATAAATTTCTAGCAATGGATTAGTTATGGAATCACTGGGTTGAAATCCAGATTGATATCTATTGTTTAAATTATTTTCAAGACAATAATTATACAAATGCTTGAATATGACCTTTTCTAAGATTTTACATACAACTGAAGTTATTGATATCGGTCGATAGTTACATGTATTAACATCATGTGCACTTCCTTTATTCTTATAGATGGGAGTAATTTGTGCATTTTTCCAAATGTCTGGAAGTTGATCAGTAGCAAGAGAATAATTGTATAGTTTGGTAAGAGGTTTTACTAAAAATCTTGAGTATCATTTTCCTTTGGGACTAACACACTAACCATTACGCTACACAGCTCTTGACGTGTTGTGACATCTAAATCATGTTTGTTATATGACCCTTGACGACATGGACTTCGAGTATTTCTCGAAAAGATGCGAATGTTGTGTCATAAAAGTGTATTTTTAAGGTAAAATGGGTTTTTTGTAGGGGTGCAACGATACACTAACCTCACGATACGATACGTATCACGGTATTCAGTTCACGATACGATACGTATCACGATACATGACAAGGTTAAACGGTCTTTCAAGTTTGTCATCATATATTTTTTAAAACTTGACAGGGTTATACAAAATGTTCATATTTTTTTTTTAAATAATTAAAATAACATTTTGTTAACTTGAATTGGATTGTTAGGTAGATATCCGAGTTGTGACAACATTCTAAACCAATAATGAACATTTACAGGGAACTAAGGGAACCTTACCTAATAATCTTCTTTTTAAATTGGAATGAAAAAGGAAAATATTCATTCTTTCATTCCTTTTATTTACGTAGAAAACCAGTTGTCATATTTCTCGTGATAATACGTTTTAGTCAACAAGACAGCGAATTTTCATCGAAATACACACGTGATGAAATATCGTGTATTACCAAAGAATACGTTTAGATCTAAAGGGTTTATCATTTGTCTTAACATCTATAACTTATAATCACATAAAGTCCTTCTCCGTGTTAAATCTGAGGTCTGTAAGATGCTGGAGATGAGTTTTACTGCCGTAAATGCATTATCGGCGACCTCACGTTTTGCGAGGAAGCCATTTTGAAATAGTAAAGAAGGAAATAAAATGCACAAAACGGATAATTCTGGACCGATTGAACCGAACCGCGATATCAGTTTAACGTATCGTGAATTGAACCGTGGAAAAATATACCGCGATATACCGTTAAACGGTTTATCGTTGCACCCTTAGTTTTTTGCTCCATGTTTTTGCTGACCAGAAAATGTTTATTTTTTCGCAAACTTTGAAGATAAACTTTGAAATATATGGAGCGAAGACCCACTCATATCGAAAAATTGTGTTTTAGTATGAGAAAATGATCCTTTTTTGTCCTCTCTAGTGTGTGTATGCTATTTCATAGGCAAATAATTTCAATCTTAGGGAGATTTTTGCAAATTGTGGAGATTTTTCATAAAGTATACTTTAATTCCAGACGAAAAACCAAAGAAAAATTTGTTATAATTTAGATTTAATTTTTCACCTTCATGTTTGTTGCACTATAAGCACTGCGCTCACCTTGTTCTCCCATGATCTTCTTTTGACAATATTCAAGGTCAATTAGCTTTAGACATTTGACGTTTACATCCCTGCACTTTAAGGCGATACCACACCCTACTTGAAATCCCATATTTTGTTTATTTGAGCTAGCATATATATCAATTTAGAATATGTTATGTATATTGATGAAAAATTTAGTAAAGAGTAAGGAAATTTTTAGAAAGCAGTGTTGATTATTTTTCACTATAGATAAGTTATCCACGATTTTACCGGAAAACCCTCGTATATTATTCATGGTTATTATTTTTATTGTAAACTTTAATATACATGTACATATATAATTTTGCTGCCCAATACAAGTTAGAAATCAATCTTCATGTCTAAATTAAATTGTCACTCCATATATACAATATTTTTGACTGTCATAATAAAATTTATGCAAATCTTAACATAACCACATAATTAAACAAATAATATTACAAGTTCCAAACGAGTGAATTTGCAAGTTCTAACTCTGGTAACGCAAGTCCCGAAGCGTGGTTAACGCAAGTCTTGAAAAGTTTTGTCAAGCCCTCAAACAAACCTTCTATAGTTTATGATAAGACCAAACAATTCGCGAATGTAACTAGAAGTGACTTTGCTATGAATCTATAGTACATCCCTTTCCTTAAAATGAAAATATGCCCAAAAGGCTAACGTACCAAGTATTTTTTCAGAGATGGATAACATCCTCAGTCAACGCATACGGAAAACCTTGATATGTGCATTTGCTTTATATATCCTAGTTCAGAGCTTGAAATTTTGGATTTCAAGATCAAGAGTTCAGTTCGAGAAAGAAGTAATCCAAATAAAATATCCGAAAACGCTTACTGAAGAAAAATATATTAAAGGCAATTTAGGATACCACATGTCTGTGCGCAAACTTCCCACAGAAGGATCTAACATATCCCGAAGTGCACCACTGGAAAGATGTAAACATTTCCAAAATAGAAGTTTCCCAAACTCGATAGAAGAAAATATGAATATTGTGAAAAATTACAGGTTTTCTGTGCCAACGGAATATTTAAAACGTCTTCAGCTTGATGAACAGGGTATAGATGCTTTAATTAATCGAAAACAAAATAGTTTTATACCTGTGATTGTATCAGGGATCTCAGAAAACCACTTTGCCGAATTTATTGGACTTCTTAATACAATCAATATCCATGTTCGAAAAGTGTATCCAGATACAAAGTTAATAGTTTTTGATTTAGGGTTATCAAAAACCCATAGAATTGATCTACAGCGAATGTGCGAGTGTGATGTTAGAAAATTTCCTTTTAAAAAATTTCCAAGGCATGTAAAACGTTTACAAGGATATACTTGGAAACCAATTATTCTTCAAATGGTTTTACAAGAATATGATTTCATCATGTGGGTTGACGCCTCTATTCGTTTCAATGACAAGTTTAATCAATTATTTGAACGAGCAAGACGTACTGGAATTCAAAGTCTTGAGGGAGACGGATCAATAGCTGTACGGACACATCGACAATTATTTAACTTCTTAAAGGAGGAACCTTGTATGTTTAACTACCCGGAAGTTCAGACTGGGTGGGTTCTCATAAAGCGAACTGAATTTACACTTAAAATGTTACTACGTCCACTGGTATCGTGTGCATTACATGTACAGTATGGTTGCATGGATTTTCCAAATGCTAGACGTTTCTTGTATTGTACCGATCCAAAGAGACCCTCGGCATGTCATAGGTTTGACCAATCTGTTCATGGAATCATCTTGACAAGACTGTTTAATAAAGATCGAAACTCCATCACATTTAAGGAGAAAGAATTCGGGAGTGTGTGCAGATTGTGTCAGTAAACATTAATTCAAAGCATCTATACTTGCGTATTGTAACATGCAATGCGGACGAGCTGGTGTATGGTCGTATGTCTTGCATGTATCGCCGAGGCCTTACACTCAGGGATTGTTAACCTATTTACTCAGGTTTTTGTTGACCATTTTAATATATTTACAAATACACTATAGCTATAAAGGGTTTCTACTTGATTGGACAAACACTAAAAGTTCCGTGATTAACAGGTACTACATGTAGTATTTCATCAGAAGATGATTGTTTCTGAATGGTTGGTTTCTACAATTTGTAAGCACAAGAAGAAGCATTGGGGAAAAATCATAAATTGTCTGATACAAAGACTTTATTTTTAGTTACATTCACACTTACAAGTGTATATTAAATTACACACAATCAATGAAGTACTGAGTATACATGCACGACTTCAAATAAAATAAAACTTTTCAAAAATAAAACTACTAATAACCCTTAATGATCATTCATATTCATGTACAAAGTGATGAGATTGTAGAAACTGTGCAAGACTAGACAAGTTCCTCCAAATGCCTGATAAAAAAAATTAACCAAAAAAAATTACTTGTAAACATCTATGATCGGACAAGTTTAAAACTATGACCAGTGTTCAATTCTTTAGGCGGCAACCATTTCATTTTCTTCCTTTTCAGGCATCTCATTACACATCCAACACAAAAACAGGGATTCCCTACCCCACCAAAGTTCACAGCCCTTACCAGGGGCTTTAAGAGTTTAGGAAAACTAGTATCCCAGTGGTTATTTATTTCTTCTGTAGTCGGTAGATGGAATGTAAAATCGGTCCAACGTCTCGACACCTGATAAAAGGCTCGGACATTTCTCTCTTTGTCACTCCAATTCTGAGCCAGATCCTCTCCTAAGCTATAACTAACGTAGTCTTCAGTAAAATGACCAACTTTGGCCAATTCAGATTCTGGATCCTTTGCTTTGTTGTATCTGCAGGTCTGAATGGCGACATATTCCTCATATATCCTTTTTACAGGAGTGAGCCACAGATACGAGTTTTCTGTATCCATGATGAGGATAAGGCGGGCACCAGAATCTCTCCTTTTGCTGGACCACCAGTCTAGCAATGTCTGAAGGCTGAGAGACCGACCATCTGAAAACAAAATGTTAAGATTTATATCACACACTAGCAATGGCTCTGCTATAATTTGTATAATTGTTTAAAGCTATATATGGCGTATCTGAACTTAAAAAAAAAAAAAAAAATGATACGAGATTGCGCGTAGATAGAAATGCACACGATATAATAATTATGCTCTTTACATTCAAATTAAAATTTTCACCAATTTTGAACTTGAATAATGTCACGTTTCAATAGTTTTTGTCTGTTATCTAAATGTGCAGTCGGTAAATAAATGGGTTATTGTTTTAATGTCTTGATATCTTTAAAACGGAATTGACTTAAATTGTTGTAATTTACAGAAAAGCTCCATCTTTATATAAAGTAATAAAACAAATAGAAAGAACTGGATAAGTTGAACTTATCAAAAATACACCATATATGGTTTAAATGAAAATGATCAATGTTTGTTTTCGTCACATTTCATATTTAATTGTCCTGAATTTGCTAAGACACCTTCATGCTTTATTGCCGTATTGCATACGACCAAACATCATCCCTTAACTTGCAACCATTGTTTCTAAAGTTATTAAACTTTTTTTGTTATGAAAGAGAGGTAGCTCTTGATAAATTCTAAACATATCACAATTGTATTTTAAAAGAAAAAAGTTTTTTTCCTATATATATTTCAATGTAAAATTTTGATTCCCCACTGTGGCCCCACCCTATCCCCGGGGGCCATGATTTGAACAATGTAGAATCTACACTACCTCAGGAGGCTTCCACATAAGTTTCATCTTTTCTGGCCCAGTGGTTTTTGAGAAGAAGATTTTTATTTTGTTTGTTTGTTTTTTATTTAACGTCCCTCTCGAGAATTTTTAACTCACATGGAGACGCCACTACTTGCCGGTGGAGGGCTGCACATTTATACCTATATTCAGCACTCAGGGTCATTGAGCAGTGAGGGATCTTTTACGTGCCAACACCTACTGCGACACAGGACCTCGGTTTATACGGTCTCATCCGAAGGACCAGCCTACATGTCCCGCAGTAGACTCGAACCCGTGACGTAAGGATCTACTCCTTACATCGCAACTCTAGAGGAAACGCTCTAACCACTGCGCCACACGGGCGACTGCTTGCTTGATGTCAAGTAGAAAAGAAAGAGATTCTGTAAGATACAATGCATTGATTGTGTAACTGGACTGTCAAACAGTCACAAAAAATACCAATTTCAAGGATAAAAGAGATATCAAAGTGTTTGTACTATATGCATTTCAGAAAACAGGCCAGCGATTTTTTCTACCCATTGGGAATGGGTCTGGTACTGATTCAATTGGGAAAATAGTGCCAAAATAGGCACTGGTACAACAAAGGGAAATTTTCTGTCACAACAACAAAGTACATTTATTTTACGTTTATTCAAACTTAATTATTGCACTTTGTAAAGAATAAACAACAAGCAATCATTGCTTTGCATATTAATGTACCTTGTTCTTACATTTTCATGCTTTCAAGTTGTCAACAATTTTTAACAGTCGAATTGGGAATTTTTAGTGTCAAAATTGGAAAAATTAATGTTAACTTTTTTGAACTTGGGAATGGTACCGTTTATCGGTACCATTTATACAAGGGGAAAAATGCAGCAAGCAATTAAAGTACAAGAAAATGAAAGTCAAACATTATCATTATAAACGTCTAGGGAGTGTGGTTTTTACCATTTTAACCTGTAAGAATTTCCCTGCTCCTTAAAGAAATGTTTAACCCCAAATGAATGAAAATCAGGAATACAGGATGCACTTTTGTAGTTTTGTTATTTGATAAATACCCTGGAGGAAAGAAAAAGATTTTCAAAGAATTAAGAGCCCCACCTTAACATCAAATCCCCTGATCGAGGGTCCACGAAATTCAAAATTTTGGATGAGGCATCCTTGCTCATCATATATGTAAACAGGTCGAAAACACTTTATTTCTTATGAGATCAGCATAAATTTGCATGTTAAATTAGCTATCTGTTTACTGACCAATCAGTTGAATGAGTCGCAGTTGAATGAGTTTGTATTGATACTACAAGTATCAATACAAACTCAGTTGTATTGAAAATAAAGAAAAACTCAGAAATTCATTTTCAATTCTTTTTTGAGACTTATGAAAGAAATACTGAAAATGATGTATAATCTTTCATTTCTATGCTCACATTTACAAATTTTGCTTTGTGAAACCTTATATCAACTTGTAATACATCGGTGTAAATTATTGTTCAGAGACATAGGTGCTATTGTGTCGATAAAGCATTGAGTGTATTTTTTTTTCACGTGATATACATGGACATAGTTTTAGACAGCAGTACAAGGTTCGCAATTATTATAACTCCTTAATATCATCAAAATGTTTTTATGTACATGCAAATGTCAAAGTGTTTGTACGGTATTTGAAGCAACTATGAATCATCTAAAACAACTCCAATATTAAATGTGCAACGGACAAAAAGAGATAGCAAAAGGTCACCTGAGAAATATATTTATATGAAATAAATGTAAAATAAATCTCCGTATTTGTCTGGAACATTCATTTGCACCTATCAGATGTCAGATTTAACATATATATTTTTAAAACTATTAACATTTACAGAAAAGGGCACATTTAAGTGTCATCTTGATGCACATTGCAGGTAATCAATATGTCAATCATATCTTTTGAACAACAATGAACAAAAACAACATTTTCACACTTGGACTCATTACCTGTTAAAGCCCAATCTCCTGAATCGTATGTTTCTCCAGAAAAATATATGATATAGGTATCAAACTGTGGACCATCACTTGTCCTGCGATCAAAGAATGCCTTGACCTTGCTTTCTAGGTTGTCAAGAGAGATACCACTAGTAGAATAGTCACAGCCGTAGCAGTCAATCATGTGATGGGAGAAAAACTGGTTCATTTTGTTGAGGGAGGCTGTAGCTCTAGTTCCAATATCCTGGACCAAGGCACCAGAGAGTAGAGTGGCACCAGTGTTCATTCTATAAGAAATGTGCAAAGGCATTAAAATTGTCAAAAAAATACTGTATTAGCAGAAATTTTAGTGAGCAGGGGTTTAGAATTACACTTTCCCATTGCACTTTGTCTCTTACAGCTACTCTATAAGTTTTCTTAATTACTCTCCTTTTTCAAAATAGGAAAAAATAAATATCATGTACTTCATGCACATATTGTACTGTAAGTTAATTCACAAAGATACATCTTTACACAAGAAAGAAAACAGTTTGCAGTGATTTGTTACTTATCTCTTTTTAAAAATAATGAATCAAATTATTCATTATGAAAACTGTCATATCAGTTCACTGTCTCCAAACAGTAATTTCACACAAATGTATTCATTTCCTACCTATGTCCCGTGTTTGGAGCAATAATTGCATACCCTGTCACAGTCCCTCCAAGAGAGGCTCCTAACTCCCAAAATAGACTAAGGGTTGCACATTCAATTGGCAGCAAAATTGAAATAAGGCTTAGGCTGTAAGCAGTTCTTGTTGTCCACCCTATACCCATCAAAACCACAGTTGTTACTAAGGTGATGCACACCAATCGCTGCGAGATCAAGCTGAAATGACGAACACCTTTGGAAGCCATGATTTGGTTCATGTTTTTGTTTTCATCTGGAAGACTGGCAAATGTAAGGTTGCAGTCAGAGATTTTACTCATGAGTTTCCAGCAAGTAATGAAAGACAAGAAATGAAAGCAGAGCCATAAAATGGCAAATAAAATAAACAATGGCACAACAATGAACCACTCCTTATGATTGCCAGACAACTGACCAATAATTCCCCCTGTTACTAAATTGAGTAAAAAAATAAATAAAACAACTGTATGCCTCCAGAATCTGGGCAATGTAAAGAAAGATTCCCATCTCTCTAAAGTGGACAGTCCTGAGAAATACAGGTCAATGATTGGTTCAAATGCATGTCGACCTACAAAACAGGCTAGGCCGTATATGTTTACAGAAATGTTCAAATCATAATAAAACACAAAACATGCCAAACACACAAGTCCAATAAAGTTCAACAAACCTAGATAAGATTTCAACCTTATGGCAACTAAATTGCATGACACTGCTAGCATCATAAGAGAGATTGCAATAGCGTCATTCCCAGTGATCAAAGTAGAAATGGCAAACCCTATTCCTTCCAGGACCTCTACTTTTGAACACAATGATGGAATGTGATTGTTCAGCCTCAGTGCTCTCTGTAGGACATTCCAGAAACAGTGCACACACAAACTGGTAATAAACAGAATATTCATCACCTCCTGAGGCATCATGTACTGTATCTCTTTCTCCTCTGAGAAAATAATAATTCCCAGAATGCACCCAAGCCAGATGTGGAACAAGATCTGTCCTATGTATGGATAGTGAAAGTAAAACTGTAGGGCACAAGAAATGCCAAACACTAACAGGCCAACCAGGGAGATAATCAAGATGGCTGTGTTTTCTGTCACTTGCCACTGAGTGTACAGTCCCAGTCCTAAAGCCACTATCAGAATGACTGTAGACAGGAACTTCAGCTTTTCCAGTTGTCTGGTTTTGGAGGTTATGCCTTTCATTGACACCATTGTTTCCTTTTGATTTGGGTTTACTATGTGATAAGTTAAGTTCCAGTCATGATTCCCTTCCTTTTGTCTGGTCTAAAGAGACATTCTTACTCCTCTGTCTGATGTACTGGTATTCTTTTTAATACCTGTCAAAAAAAATTAATAAATAAATCAATAAATTCTAATAAAAATTATATTGCAAAGTAGATTATTTGGGTCTTTTAAAAAACCACATTTCACTCTTCAAAGGTACCACTAGTAAGGAGACCGAAAAATTCACTAGAAACCATTGACAAGCCTTACTGCATGGTTTCTTATAAAGATAACATGGGGGAAAATGTGTACTTTGACTGATGGGATTTTCTTATTTAATTAAATATCAAAAAGCATGAATTGAATCATAAACAATCAAGTCTTGTATTGGAAATCAGCAAAACGTTGCAATATGTTGTCACAAACTTAGCATATTAAAAGCAATGAATAATGAATGCTACCAGCTATTAGGATGACCATCATATGGTAGCTCGATCTGAGTTGGTAGATCACTTGCACATGTAGTTGAAAGATCATGGATTTGCACCCTGGCTATGAAAATTCTTCAATAAAAAAAGGGTAGCAACCATTCCTTTGCCAAGCGCTAATGGCATTTTTGAGTGAAATTGTTGGTCTTCAAGCAGCAGGCCTTACCATGCTAAAGAACCCTCACTGCTTGGTGGCCCAGGTGCCAAGTAAAGGTCTAAATTTGAAGCTGAGACTTTACCACCATCTGGTGTAAAATTTTACAAGTGAAATAATCTTGCAAGGAATTTTAACTACAACAATCAATCACACAGAATTTTGAAATTCTGGAAAAAAAAATGAAGAATTCAGAATTGGAAAATACAAATTAAACATACCGGTATGTAAATTTCATTAAACTTTCTAAAAGTAATTAACCTGTTCACCAAATTATCCATGAGAAATCACTCTCAGGTGACTGAATAAATCTGTAGCAATTTAAACTATATACAAGGGACATAACATGATCATGTACGACAATAGAAATGGTATTTCAATGGTATCTCAATTATCTGTATCCAAAGTTATCATTCACTACACTCACAAACACCTATATTGTCAATTAACATCCAAAGTCAAATGATCATATGATTAAATTTTTCATAAAAAAAAATATCTTACTAAGAGAAAAGCATGAGAAAAATTACAATACTGTGTGCATAATTTCTGTTTAAATAAACAAAATCTTAATAACAAACTACCCAGGTGTAATATCACAAAAAAGTCCTATTACATATACACACCCTTCAGTTTTCCTGACTCAACCACTCTGGAATTGCTGTATGTAATACTTTTTATGCCCCCGGATCAAAAGATCCCAGGGTATATCATTTTTGTCCTGTCTATCTGTTTGTCTGTTATCAACTTTAACCTAGCCCATAACTATTGCACTGTCAAGGGTAAGGCTTTAATATTTGACATGAGTGTTCATTATGACAAGACCTTTCCATTGGTACAGAAATTTTTGATCATGTGACCTCAACTGTGACCTTTGACCTACATTTGAAAAACTTTAACATTGGCCATAACTATTGCACTGTAGTCTACATCCCACTCCAGAACTGTGTTACGATCGGGGGCATAGTGTTTCACAAACACATCTTGTTTTTTATCATGCAGATTTCTGTATAAATTCATAAGCAAATTGACATGTGAATTTAATGGATAACTGATTGCAGTTGGATAACTACATGTAATTGCAAATTTTTTCTTGTGAATTGGATACATGTAACTGCATGATTACAATTAATTTCATACTTTTAATCATCTGGATTTCAAATCAAATTATTTGCAAATTGATTTGTGAATTTGATTATATTAGTGAGTTAAGGGGTACATTTTGCTCAAAAAAATAATTCTTAAAATGATGAATCTTCATGAATATGACTCTTCATGAATTATTCATGAAAAAATATATTCATGAATATTCATCAACTTTCTTTCATGAATAAAAATTCATGATTTGAAAATGTCCAATAATAAGTTCATAGGATCTTCATGAACATTTCATGAACATTTCATGAATAAAATTCATGAATAATTCAAGAAAAATCATGAATTATTCATGATCATCTCGCAGGGGAGTTTATGAAAAATGCAAGAAAATGATCCTTTGAAGCTATATACAGATGAGTTTAACAAATGTTGAATTGGGGATGTTGAGCATGTTGAGAAGGCAGTGAGTGAAAGGACTCCACATTTATGAATAATGTTACTTTTCAGCTAAAAATAATGAACACGACATAATTCTTACTAAGCAAAATATTATTTCAAGAAAACTTATTATGGATGTTCATCTGTCAGTGATGACTTTTTTGTTAAGTCAATAAGAGTGAAAAAAATAATTTTTATATTGTCCCATTTTGCATATATATCCCTTTTATTATGCATATTTACTTCTCAAACGTATCATTTTCTCTGTAATTGACCTGACTTCAAACGTCAACTTTGAAAGTAAATATCTTCTTTTTTGCAAATAAAATCAAAAATCTGACAAATACGATCTCTTCCGAAGTCTTTTATTTAGCATTTCTGAGTACTGGCATAATTGCCATACTTTCCAAAACTTTGCACAAACAGTTTTTGTAGACCCATCATTTTTGCCAAAAAATCGCCATTTTTTGTGTGTGTGCGCATGCGCGGACTCTATTTTCGGAGTCTTTTTCAGTCTCAATTTCTTACTTCCGGAAACGCTGTTTTTGGAGTTCGTCTAGACTGGTCTACATATTTCTGTCACGGTGACACTGGTTTCGGAACTTCTAAGCCATTAAAGCGATGAAAAAGATAAAATTATTGAAACATATATGTTTTTCTTCGTTCAACAAATGATTATTAGTTCTTTCTTTGATGTGAAGAATGTTTTTAATTAGCCTAAAATCACGCTTACCTTTTTAACCCGAAATTCCTTTGAAGGTATGTAAATTGAAGACGATACCACCGCTTTTGACTTCATATATTAAGAACTCATACAATAATAGTAAGATCATTATTCTCAGTAGCGATCATGGATTTTTCATTATGAACAGATATTTCCTGAACCATAGGGACTTGAGACAATCTTAGCAAAATCGGGTATATAGTATAATAATCCCCCGATTTTGCTAAGATTGTCTCAAGTCCCTGTGTGCTGAACATCAATGTAAGTATTCAAATGTTGGAGCGAGGCGAACTCTCAAGACCAAGCAGCTTCTAGCTAGGTCATTGCGCGTCACAACATAGCAATACGGTGGGCCGTTCATGTAATAAATGCAGTTCTTTTCAGAATATTCGTCTCAAATGTAAATAAAAGTAATAAACAACAATGTTAAAAAGTTCACTGGGAAATGAACTTTGTTGGTACATGATCAAATCTTCTGAGAAGCCCTTCGGGCTTCACAGGATTTGATCACGTGATCAACTTTTTAACATTGTTGTTTATTTCTTAATTAAAAATAAGACTTTTTACCGGCACATGAATTTAAATTTGATGTCACCTAATGGGATACTGAGATATTTGAAGATTAAACATTTGTATCTAAATTCTTGTATTACATGTATATATTACATCCACCCCCATAAAATGCATAAGTTTACATGAAATTGAAGAATCAATGCTTATTTATTTAAAAACTGTAAATTAGCCTCAGAATCATTCTGACTATTTATTTTAACAAGCAGACAGACAGATGTACAACTAATACTAATGAATGTAAATTTCTTTTGACTGGTAGATCTAATTGCCTTGGAAAACATGAATAACTTGAAATGGACAGTCACGAAACATTCTTCTGAAATGTTGTTAGCAATTGGCATCTTCAAAGAAGCTGGTAAAAAGATGGGCTTTGATATTTAATTAGTAGATTAGAAAAAATGAAAATGACCATGTATTCCTTTGTCGTGACTCATTAAATAAAAAAAGATAAAATAATGATGTTGACAAAAGACACATTATAAAACTTGTTCCAGCAGTAATTGGATATCATTACAGTTTTCTTTACTTTATATTTTCCGATCTTCCTGTACCAATGACAGTAAATTATTCTAAGCTTCAACAGTGGAATATATTTTAATACTAGCTGCTCACCAACTCTCAACTCTAACATGTCTGCATGATGTTGAATAATGAAAGAAATTCAGAATTCTCACCAATCCTTCAACATCATTGGTTCATAGATTGACAATTCCAACTTCACAAAACTCATTACATAAACAGCATTAATGTACAATATTATATTCATATTTGAGTCCTTGAATTTATAATGATCTTACATGTACGTACTGTAAAACAAATTAACTATTCTCAGTGACTCAAGTGTCCTACTTAAATCTATCCTAAAAATTGCAAGTTAATTCAAAGTCTCTTTCTTTTACTTATTATACATGCTCAATGCCAGCCAGTCCTCATTTAAACAAGAGGCCCAAGGGCCTTAACAGTCACCTGAGTATAATACAACAATTTAGAGGATCCATAGAGTATAAAATGAACTGAAAGGTGAAGCTTTGTTGCCCAAAAGCAAGAAAAATAGGATTATCAGGATCAACAAAATAATTAGTCTAGCATTCAGTAACAGTTCCTAAATTAGGTTCTAATCTGTTCCCCATTTATCACAATCACCACACAGTACATTAACAAACTATCAGTCTTCTATACTATTTTAATTCCTAATGTTGAAAACTCTTATATTGGCCACTCTTGGTTTTTGATGAACATTTAATAAGGCAAGTTATTTTTGTCTCATTTTTATTTATCTATTACTTAAAAGTCTAACTGATCATTAAAACTATGAAAGTACTTTTTGTATTATACAATAAAAATTCTTGCATAATTCTCTTCAATTAACCTTTCAAGTACATTATTTACAGTGATTAATTATCAAAAGTAAATGGTAAAGGGGAATAACTCCTCTCAGAAGAATACAAATTAATAGAGCCCTTGCCGGGACCAGAACACTTGACCAAATGGTCCAGATGTTCAAAAATCTGGTAAAAATTACCCTTCCTTATTCAAACATTTACTCTTTTTGCCTCTGATATATCCAGGTGCAGAGAAGATTTTTAAAGAAATAATGCATTTTTACCACAGATTCACTATATTATCAATACAGCCCCC